GATGTTATAATGCCCTTCACAGAGGTCCTGTTCCTCTCTTATTGAGATTTACTCCTAGGTATTTTATATTTGGGGCTATTTTAAATGAAAATTTCCCATTATTGTTTATATGTGATCATTGTTTGGTATGATAGAAAGCTATTGACTTTGGTATTTTCAATTAATTTTAAATAACACTTAAAAGATTTCATATTATCTTTTTAAATAAGTCACTATTGCCCCAAACATCTTTTTAGTAGATGTACAATTAGCGTCGCATGCTGGTTGATCCTGTTAACTGTGCCAGCATCTGAAGGCATTTGTGCTAGGACACCAGTCGGCTGATGTAAATAACTAGAAATAAGCTCTTTGAAGACTTGTGTCTTTTTCACAGATAGAGTCAACGCCATAGGAAAAAATGAGAAACCACTGAAGGTACTTCTTACCTCAGGCTTTCTCTGCATTGTCACTCTCGGTGCACAGACGAGGCAGGGGAGAGAAAGCCTGGGCTTGTGGACACTCAAACATCATCAACCTGTGCTCAGGGCGCCTCTGTGTCCCGTATACCAGGTGTCTCGGGACTTGGGAGAAAGGTCGGTATGAATCAAAGACCCCACTGTGGTCTCTCAGCCTGCAAGTGCTCGATATTTTCATCGTTGTTCAACGTAACACAGTCCGTAGAAGGGCATGGTTTCGGTTGGAGCCAGCACTTCACGTTGTGTTCCTGGCCCTTAAGAAAATGTCTAACTTTTCTCTCTTCCCTGGTGGTTCCAGCACATGGTTCGCAAAGGCTTTGTTGATGAAAAATGGGAGTGGAGGGAGCAGGGTGGTTTGGGGTACATTCTGACTTTAAACAAACTTGCAGCACACAAGGAAAGCAATGCACCAGGCTGGCCAGCTATTCCCTAATCAATCATGCTGGCACTTTTTCTAATAAGGCCATGCACTGATTTACTCAGAACATATGGCTCAGCACTTTTTTCCCAGCGTCAGGACCAAGCAAGCAGCTGTTCTCTCTAATGAAGGCAGTTTGGGCTGCGGGCACTCTGGGGCGCTACCTGGGGTGCTGCCCCAGCCTCTCTCTGCTCTGGCCCTCAAGACCCGTCTTCCTAGACTGACCCACAGGGCACTGCTCAGACTCGGGCACCTGCTGGCTCTCTCCCAGACCCCTTGTGTCCTTTCCAGCTTTGGGACCTTCATGTTGTGCCTGGCCCTGCCCAGCTTCATAAACCTGTCCACCCCGTCAATACATAAGCATGGTGTCACCTAGCCCAAGAGCTTGGCTTGCTTTGCACTCACCCCTTTATTTCCTCAACAAATGCTTGTTGAGCAGTTGCCACGGGTGGGGCACTGTGCTAGGTCAGGGGTGGGCACTGGAGATGCAGCTGTGAGCTAGACCGACCATTATCTGGAGTGTTCCCTCCATCCCAGTGCTCTCACCCAGAAGATCGAAACCCTGCATTCTTACAGCCCCCAGACCCCTCCAAGCCTAAAGGCTGGGTTTGATTTGCTTCATAGTCTAGAATAGCGTGAGTTTACTTAATGCTTCATGAAAAAATCTCTTGCCAGATCCCGACATTGTGTTGGAGCATCCAGATGTGAGCAGACCCGTTTTCTCAGTCGAGGAGCAAACATAAAGATGGAAAAGACATATCCTTTGTTTTGTTGTGTTTTGCCTTGTTTTGCTTTGCTCTGTCTGGGAGGAGGCACAAGAGCACACAGTGGGAATGGAAGCCTGTCGACATCGCTGAATTGCCCCTTCCTAGAACTTTTCCCACATGCCTAAGGCTGTGTCTACACATGGCCCATAAGGCTGGCCACCCGCTGTTCTTGTTCTTTCTCCCATGAACTGATGGAATCAACCAGTGAGGGTATCATGCCAACGTGAAAAGCAACAGACTTCCAGGTGAGTAGGGGAGGGATTCCTGCCAGGCCCACAGGTGCCTGTTGTCCAATATTGTTGACTCCTAGGATCTTGGAAAAGAACCACTGAATATTCCTCTTAGAACCATATTCCAGAGCCTTCTACCTGCACGTCGTCAAGCACCTCAGTGTGCTCCACGGCAGCATGCCATCCTTCTGTACTGGGGGCTGGGTCTTGATGATGAAATCATGTATTTTTGTAAAGGGCCATGTCAGTCCTTACATCCACCCTTACATCCTTTGGGGCTTGTTTTTAACACAATTTCTTAAACATACATTAAAATGTTACTCTTCTGCAGAATGGACCTCTTAGGAAGACCCATCTAATAAAGCAAGAAGCTGACTCTGCCAAAGTCCTATGCATAGAAGCCAGCAAGCATTCCTGCCCTTCCACTGCATTCCAAACGCTACAAGGCATTCACCTTCTCACAGAAAGAGTAAGAGTCGCAGTCTGTGATTTCATCCAGGCTCTGCTGTGCTGGTCTTGCTACCTAGGACGTGGGGCACCAGGCAAGTACATCACGCAAGTTTGATGTGGTAGTGTGGCTACTCCACTCCCAATCCCACACCATATCCAGGGATGAGAGAATGAGGCTGGGAGGCGCTGCCTACCCTTTGCTCCCAGTTTTCAGCTGTAAACAGGAGTAATAGTCCCTGGCAAATGAGAAAATATATGTGTTATGAGCTGCTTTGGAAAGAGACAAGATATTCATCCATCCCAGAATACTCCCACGTAGTCATCATGGAGTGTTTTGAATGGGTTAGACCACAGGGGTTTGAAAGAGATGGCGGTTGGGTCCTTTGAAACTGCAGTCAGCCAATTGCTCTCAGGAAGTAGGCAGCGGCTTCACAGGGGGCTGTGATTGTTCTCTCCCTCAGTGTTCGGGCTGTTGGCCACTAAGACATTATATCTGAAAGGTCATTGAGATAAAGCCGTGCCAAATTGACCACACAGAAAGGAGCTGTCTGAGTCCATCCCGGCCACTATGCAGCTGCATTTGTCATTCTGTTTCCGATGTCCCCTGTGGATGAGGGCGCTGGAAAGGGAGCCCCGCCAGGCCTAGTGTGTTTCTAGATTGGCCGTTGGCCTCCAGCAAAGAGAGAGCACTAATCTGTCTGTCTCCAGCAGAACGGAGGAGACTGCCACGTCCCACAGACAGCAAAGAGCCAGGCCGCGTTCCCTCCTGCTGCTCTGACGATGCCTCTCAGAAAGAGGGTGAGCCTCTGTGCGGACTGTGACCCCCTCTCTCGATGGCAGGCAGCCACTTCCTAGGGGTTGACCATTGTCACCAAACAGCAGGTCACTGTCTGGATGGCTTCAAATAAGAACTGCCCTTTTCAAGAGAACAGAGAAAACAAAAACAGAGCTCATATCTACATTTATACGAATGCTCCGATGGGCCTTCTTTGGTCTTTAAACACTTGGCAGCTGGCCGGTGGACCCCTTCACCTTCCCACCTCCTGGTGGAGTCATAGGGACCAAACAAAATTCATTAAACAAACATGAGCTAAGGGATTTCAAAACTGTTCAGTTCAGGGCACGTGGGCAAGGAGGGCATTTAGATTGTCCCAGTGACAGTTTCTGAGAGTGCGTGTGAGGGAGCTGTCCATGGGGAAAGCTGTTAGCATAGAAAGAGAGACGAGCTAATTTCGGTGAGGACTGCCTCCAATGGGCAGTCTGCTAATAGCACACATTGATTAAGAAATTATACCCTTAATTCTGCAGGATGAGGAATTACTGGAATAGTCAAAATCCTACAGGAGAAGAGATTCACTTCTTAGGACAGGAATTCAGGGGTAAACTGGGTTAGATACTTGAGTAAACAGAAAACCGGGGGTGGGGGAAAGTATAGCTAGGAATAGGAAATTCTGGACAATTACTTGAAATCTTCCATCACTAATGTGAAAAAAATTGAATTTGACCCAAGATGCTTGTTAAATTAGAAGTAATATGGATTAAAAATGGTGGTGGAGTAAGTGGAGGCTACACGGAAATGTTCTCAGGACCAAACTGAAATTACAAATAAAATATAGAAAAACTCACTGGAGAGGAGACCACATAGAGACTGGTAGGAAGTGCAGAGGCAAGAAGGGGCTGTACAGGCTCCAACAGACTGAACTTCCAGAGAGATATCTCAGCTGTGGGGGTTCCCACTGAGAACTCTGGGGTCTAATCCCCAAGCTGCCCCCCCAGCCCAGAGCACCACAACTGAGAGGGTACCCACATAACATCTGGCTGTGAAAAGCAGCAGGGTTGCTGTCTACCAGGGAGAGACGGCTGGAAATTCAGACACTCTTTTAAAGGGCCAATGAACAAAATTCCCTGTGCAGCCACCCATCTTGTGCTCTGGCAATGATAGGGCAGAATGGACTGGAGCTGTGTGAGCAGAAGCCAGGATCAGAGGCTCTGGGGTTAGAGCTCAGAAGGCAGACACCCCAGCTTCCTGTGCTGAGTCATTCCCTCACACTGCGGAGGTCATCTTTCTCACACAGACATTTGTTATACAGGTGACCTGGCCTGGGGGGAAGACAGTTGATCCACCCTATTGGAAAATGCCTTGCACCACAGTGCAGAGTTTCTGAGGCCCATTAAGAGACAGGATAACAATAGCATCCAGGCAGAAGCAATTGCCCCACCTGTTGAAAAGAACTCTTGTCACACTTATGGATGATTGCCTGAGGGCAATTCAAGACAAAATCCTAAAAAAAAAAAAAAAAAGACAAAATTCTATCAGTCTGTTGGCAGAGGTGGTCTCTGGAGGCTTTGCATCTTTGCCTGACCCAATTAATCAGAAACGGCATTTGACACTTTCCTGCACCAGAGATTGAGAGGTGTAGCAGATCTACTTAATACATAGTCACAGACCAAAGCAGGCAGCCAAAATGAGGAGATAAAGAAACAACCTCCAAGTGAAAGAACAATAAAGTTCTCCAGAAAAAGAGATAAATGAAAGGGAGATAAGAAATTTATCTGATAAAGAGTTCAGAATGATGGTAAAGATGCTCGACAATGTGAGAAAAGATATAGTAACTATCAAAACAGAAATAAAGAATGACATAGCACAAATAAAGAATACATTGAGAGGGTCTGCCGAGAGGCCGGGGGCTGATGCGGGCCCGGGGCCGAGGCCGGCCCCTCCGAGCAGCCGGGCCGCGGGAGGGGGGGCGCCCACAGAGGGAGAGGTAGGCCCCGGAGCCTGCTCTCTCTTCCCAGGGCCCAGGCGTCTTGGGCCCCCCAACTTCCTACTGGGCTGACCAGCCCTCCTATCCCTGGTGTCGCCTCTCAGGGGGAGGGCCCCGCTGAGATGGGGGCTCTGGTGCTGGACAAGGAGCCCAGAGGAGCCGTCGAGCGAGGCCATGCCACAAAGTCATTCCCCTCTTCCCCCAGCAAAGGGGGTGCCTGTCCCAGCCGCGCCAAGATGTCAATGACGGGGGCGGGGAAGTCACCCCCCTCGGTCCAGAGTTTGGCGATGAGGCTGCTGAGTATGCCTGGGGCCCAGGGGGCAGCGGCAGGGCCTGAACCCCCTCCAGCTACAACCAGCCCAGAGGGGCAGCCCAAGGTCCACCGAGCCAGGAAAACCATGTCCAAGCCGGGCAATGGACAGTTGGAGTTGGGGTCTGCCCGGGGCTCAGGAGAGATGACCCTGGAGAAGGCGAATGCGGGGCTCCAGGAGGAGTGGGAGACGGTGGTGGGGGACGACTTCAGCCTCTACTATGACTCCTACTCTGTGGACGAGTGTGTGGACTCGGACAGCAAGTCTGAGGTTGAAGCACTGGCTGAACAACTGAGTGAGGAAGAGGAGGAAGAGGAGGAGGAAGAAGAGGAGGAGGAGGAGGAGGAAGAGGAAGACGAGGAGTCTGGCAATCAGTCTGACAAGAGTGGTTCCAGCGGCCGGAGAAAAGCCAAAAAGAAATGGCGGAAGGACAGCCCCTGGGTGAAGCCGTCCCGGAAACGGCGGAAGCGGGAGCCTCCACGGGCCAAGGAGCCACGAGGGTGTCCAACGATACGTCTTCCCTGGAGACGGAGCGCGGGCTGGAGGAGCTGCCGCTGTGCAGCTGCCGCATGGAGGCGCCCAAGATCGACCGCATCAGCGAAAGAGCGGGGCACAAGTGCATGGCCACGGAGAGCGTGGACAGAGAGCTGTCGGGCTGCAACGCCGCCATCCTCAAGCGGGAGACCATGAGGCCCTCGAGCCGCGTGGCCCTGATGGTGCTCTGCGAGGCGCACCGGGCCCGCATGGTCAAGCACCACTGCTGCCCGGGCTGCGGCTACTTCTGTACAGTGGGCACCTTCCTGGAGTGCCACCCCGACTTCCGTGTGGCCCATCGCTTCCACAAGGCCTGTGTGTCCCAGATGAACGGCATGGTCTTCTGTCTCCACTGTGGGGAGGATGCATCCGAGGCCCAGGAGGTGACCATCCCCCGGGGGGACGGAGTGACCCCACCAGCTGGCACTGCAGCCCCCGCGCCCCCACCCCTGGCCCAGGATGCCCCTGGGAGAGCGGATACCTCCCAGCCCAGCGCCCGGATGCGCGGGCAGGGGGAGCCTCGGTGTACACCCTGCGACCCCGTGGCTGACACCATCGACAGCTCGGGGCCCTCCCTGGCCCTGCCCAGTGGGGGCTGCCTCTCGGCCGTGGGGCTGCCACCTGGGCCAGGCCGGGAGGCCCTGGAAAAGGCCCTGGTCATCCAGGAGTCCGAGCGGCGGAAGAAACTCTGCTTCCACCCCCGGCAGTTGTACCTGTCAGTGAAGCAGGGGGAGCTGCAGAAGGTGGTCCTGATGCTGTTGGACAACCTGGACCCCAACTTCCAGAGCGACCAGCAGAGCAAGCGCACACCCCTGCACGCGGCCGCCCAGAAGGGCTCCGTGGAGATCTGCCACGTGCTGCTGCAGGCTGGAGCCAACATCAACGCCGTGGACAAGCAGCAGCGGACGCCGCTGATGGAGGCCGTGGTGAACAACCACCTGGAGGTGGCCCGCTACATGGTGCAACGCGGCGGGTGTGTCTACAGCAAGGAGGAGAACGGCTCCACCTGCCTCCACCACGCAGCCAAAATCGGGAACTTGGAGATGGTCAGCCTGCTGCTCAGCACAGGACAGGTGGACGTCAACACCCAGGACAGTGGGGGGTGGACGCCCATCATCTGGGCCGCGGAGCACAAGCACATCGAGGTGATCCGCATGCTGCTGACGCGCGGCGCCGACGTCACCCTCACAGACAACGAGGAAAACATCTGCCTGCACTGGGCCTCCTTCACCGGCAGTGCCGCCATCGCCGAGGTCCTCCTGAACGCCCGCTGCGACCTCCACGCCGTCAACTACCACGGGGACACGCCCCTGCACATCGCAGCCCGGGAGAGCTACCACGACTGTGTGCTGCTGTTCCTGTCGCGTGGAGCGAACCCTGAGCTGCGCAACAAGGAGGGGGACACTGCATGGGACCTGACCCCCGAGCGCTCGGACGTGTGGTTTGCGCTCCAGCTCAACCGCAAGCTGCGGCTCGGCGTGGGCAACCGGGCCGTCCGCACGGAGAAGATCATCTGCCGGGACGTGGCTCGGGGCTATGAGAACGTGCCCATTCCCTGTGTCAACGGTGTGGACGGGGAGCCGTGCCCCGAGGATTACAAGTACATCTCGGAGAACTGCGAGACTTCCACCATGAACATTGACCGCAACATCACCCACCTGCAGCACTGCACCTGTGTGGACGACTGCTCCAGCTCCAACTGCCTGAGCGGCCAGCTCAGCATTCGCTGCTGGTATGACAAGGACGGGCGGCTGCTCCAGGAATTTAACAAGATCGAGCCCCCGCTGATCTTCGAGTGTAACCAGGCCTGCTCCTGCTGGAGAAACTGCAAGAACCGGGTGGTGCAGAGCGGCATCAAGGTTCGACTGCAGCTCTACCGAACAGCCAAGATGGGCTAGGGGATCCGTGCCCTGCACACCATCCCCCAAGGAACCTTCATCTGCGAGTATGTCGGGGAGCTGATCTCCGATGCCGAGGCTGACGTCAGAGAGGATGATTCTTATCTCTTCGACTTGGACAACAAGGATGGAGAGGTGTACTGCATCGATGCCCGTTACTACGGCAACATCAGCCGGTTCATCAACCACCTATGTGACCCCAACATCATCCCTGTCCGGGTCTTCATGCTGCACCAAGACCTGCGGTTTCCACGCATCGCCTTCTTCAGTTCCCGGGACATCCGCACCGGGGAGGAGCTGGGGTTTGACTATGGCGACCGCTTCTGGGACATCAAAAGCAAATATTTCACCTGCCAGTGTGGCTCGGAGAAGTGCAAACACTCGGCCGAGGCCATTGCCCTAGAGCAGAGCCGCCTGGCCCGCCTGGACCCCCACCCCGAGCTGCTGCCTGAGCTGGGCTCCCTGCCCCCTGTCAACCCCTGAGAGTGGACCATACCCCCCCCCCCATGCCACCAGCTCAGCAGCTGCCTCTCACTTGCTGCTTACATCCACACCACGCTGGGGGCACTGCCATCTCTCCCACTCGCCCTTCACACATTCCGGCCAGAGACCCCAGCCAGGCCCTGGAGGTCTGACAGCCCCTCGCCCAGGGCTGGTTCCTCCCTGGGAGGGACTTCAGGGGTGGCCGCCCCGTCCCCATCCTCAGCTGATGTTTGATGAACTGAAATGGGCCTCTGTGCCAGCTGGTGTCTTGGTTCTCAATAAATGTTGGGTTTGGTAAAAAAAAAAAAAAAAAAAAAAAAAAAGAATACATTGAAAGGAAGACACAGCAGATTAGGGGAAGTAAGAGACTGAATCAGTGAATTGGAAGACAGGTTTGAAAAAAATCACTCAATCAGAGAACTAAAAAGAAAAAAACAATTAAAAAGCAGGAGGACAGCATAAGGGAGCTGTGGGGCAACATGAAATGTAACAATATTCAAATAGCAGGTGTGCCAGAAGAAGCAGAAAGGGAGAAAGGAATAGAGAACTTTTTTGAAGAAATAATAGTAGAAAACTTCCCTAACCTGGTAAAGGAAAAAGTCACACAAGTCCAGGAGGCACGAGAACCCAAACAAGAAGAGCCAAAACAGGTCCATGACCAGACACATCATAATTAAAATGCCAAAAATTAAAGACAAAGAGAGAATATTAAAGGCACCAAGAGAAAAGCAAATGGTTACTTACAAAGTAGCTCCCATAAGGCTGACACCTGATTACTCATCAGAAACTCTGATGGCCAGAAGGGAATGGCATGAAGTACTCAAGGTAATGGAAAGTAAGGATCTGAAACCAAGATTATATATCCAGAAAAGTTATCATTCAGAACAAACAGTCAAATAAAGAGCTTCCCAGACAAAAAAAAAAAAAAAAAAAAAAAAAAAAGGCTAAAGGAGTACATCACCACCAGGCCAGCATTACAAGAAATGCTAAAGGGACTGCAGTAATGAGAAGAAAAAATAGAGAAAGAAACCTAGCTATACAGAGTTAAAATGGCAATAAATAAGTGCCTATCCTATGTAATAAAAGAGAAACATGCAAATTAACCATCCCTCTGCTACGCTTAAGCCACACCCACCAGTCATGCCCATCAACCAATCAGGAGCGAGTATGCAAATTAACCCAACTAAGATGGCGGCGGCCACAGAGCTGGAGTGAGCAGGAGGCTTGGGTTGCTCCTGGCGATGGAGGAAGCCAAGCTTCCCCCCTGCCCTGGCCAGCCCTCGGCTCAGCTCAAGGCTACAAAGTTTCAACTATAGAAGATAAATAAACCCCAGATACCTGCTTACAGCCAGCTGTGGCCTCCGCTCAGGCTACAAGGTTTCAATTATAGAAGATAAATAAATTCCAGAAAGAAAGAAAAAAAAGAAAAAAAGGAGAGGCTGGGAGCTTGAGTCATGGGGGGGCATGGCCAGCCTGAAAAAGACCATCAGCCCCTCATCCAGGCTGGCCAGCACCCCAGCAGGACTCTCCCACCCTGAAGGGGCTGTAGGCAGCCTGAAAACGGCCCTCAGCCCCTCACCCAGGCTGGCCACACCCCCATGAAGTGAGGGTCCCCACTGGGGGGGCTTGACCAGCCTGAAAACAGCCATCAGCCCCTCACTCAGGCTGGCCAGGCACCCCAGCGGGGACCTCCACCCTGAAGGGGGGTGTGGCCAGCCTGCAAACAGCCCTCAGCCCCTTTTTATTTTGTTGCGGGCCGTGGTATTTTTTTTTTTTTTTTTTTTTT